CAGGTACTAAAGACGTGATGCCTACGCAAAATTGGAAGAGATCCCAAATTCCATTTTGTAAAAATATCGAGGAACAAACACCACTACACGAAAGTACCTCTCGATAAGTTTCATTTTAATGTTCACGCGCTTGGCTCCTGAGAACACCTTGGTCAGCATAATAAACAGTTCCGCATCACATGAAAGCAATAGTTCTACTGAGATGTATGTCTCTATGGAATCGATTCATAACGTCTTATGTTTGTATGGAATCGACTCATAACTGCCGCGGGCAAATAGGAGATTCCTGCCAAATAAGTCTATAAGGCAAGGAAACGATATATTTAAAAACAGAAAAGAAAAGTAGTGCTACTGGAAGTGACGAGTTTATTTAGATCAGTGCTTATGGTAAAGACGTAATTGTTTGTGATTTTGAAAGAATCGCAATTGAAGTTTAACAAGTTTGAGACAAAGGAACGCATTCCTTTCAGCACATTTTCTAAATTATTGTCCTGACGTGAAATTTGTAAACCCTTCTAATCTCCACTTTCAACTCATATGCTGTAACGGTAGCTTTTTACTGAAGAATTAGCTGTTTATGGTGAACATGATGTTAAAATTACTCTTGCCGACTGTCCACAGTGAATGTTTTTCCGGGTATGAAGGGCGTGTTAAACTTCTACCCACATCTGCGAATTACGCCTACTCAATAAATCTTATGGGCGAAGAATAATACAAATTGAGACTCACCAAGCCGTCGAGATCTGACTCTAAGACTTCCATTATTGCACTCTGAATCGCCAGAAGACAAAGTTGAGTTTACAACTCGTTTTCTCTCTTCGGGTACTGCTCTCAAAACGTAATGACGCTAAACAAAATGTCGGTTTTAAGATGCAAAGAATCAAGGCAGTCTGAAGGGAAATATTTATTTATTTATATGAAGAGCTTATCTGAAAACAGTGCTGGATTAGATCTTCAGTTCAGAAGCGTTCTAGCTACGTTTTCGCTTCGTTGCAGCGTGCGTGGGCCGCTTCATGGCGAGGAACGTTTTATGAATTCGTGCCTATTGAATTCGTTTAAGATTATCTTTGTCAGTTATGTGTCGCTGAAAGAATTCCCAGACTTATTACGACTGTACGATTGCAATATGAGTTGTTTTTAACCACATAATGGAAGACTTTTAATCAGTCTCCTACGTGCTTATGATAATTTGTGCTGTCCTGTCTACAAACCGGGGAATTGAAAAGCGGAAATTTACGGCGATGAATCAGCCTTGATAACAATTATTTTAATAAAGTTGCGTTGAGAAGACTTGCTTTTAGCCTCAAATCTTCCACGGGTATTTAGCTTTTACGAACATATGGCAAAATGCGAAACAATTTACTGCTGATCACACACTTGGGTTCCAAAAACCACTTTGTTCAGCATAATAACCAGTTCGGCTACTCATGAAAGCAGTAACTACTTATCTATCGATTCTTAGCAACCAAGGACAGGTGAAAGGCTTGCCATCAAATGGGTCGAGTTTCACGGGAAAAGAACCGTATTAAAAGGCAGTAAAGAAAAATGGTGCTACTGGAACAGAAGAGTCATTAAGATGCGAATAATTGAAGATGCAACGGTTAGTGATTTTGACAGAGTCGGAACTCGAGTTCCGCAAGTTCTGGGAATGCATTCCTTTCGGTCCATTTTCCAAAATTTATATTGTCACGTGAAAGTTGTAAACCTTTTGAATGCTTGTAATCTCCTTAATTTCAACTCGTCATGCAGTAACGGGCAGCCTTTTACTGCCCATCGAGCTGTTGTGATAAATATGATCGTAAATTTACTCCTACAGTGAATCGCCTTCCTGTTTTGACGTATGAAGGGTGTGCTAAACCTCTGACCTCATCTGCCAAACTCCATGCTGTATTAATCTAATGTAAAATAGCGGGTACGAATAGTCAAAGTCGAGACCCCCCAAGTCATGGAAGCCTGAAAGACTGAGACTAGCACGATTTTAGAGGAATGTCGAAACATGCTGAAGACTCATTTTAAGGGCTTCCGAGGTTTCGAGATGGGTTCCGAGAGCCAAGATTTTCTAGGTGCCATTCGCCAGCCCTGTAGCTGAATTCCCGTCATCGTATTATTAGGTTTTATCTCTATCCGCACTGAATTACCAGATGACGAAGTAAAAAGCTGGTTGTTCCTTCGGGTGCTGCTAAACAAGGGCTAAACATATCGCGGTTCTGTTTCTTTGACATGCAAAGAATTAAGGCAGTCTTCCAACGGAAATATATAGGAAGAGCTAACATGGTGCAATGAGTTCTGGATTCCAACTAAATGAACGCCTGTAAAAGGCTATATGGATCCGTATTCTAGTACCACTTTAGCTTCGTTACATTTTAGTCTCAGTTAAGTTCTGTGTGTAATTTATTGCGAGGGATTTTGTTTACGAATTCAAAAACGCTGATACGTGCAGATTTGGGATCCCGGCAATAAAGATCTAAATTTATGTGTCGTTTCAACAATTCGCTCTCAACTGAACGATCAGTTACAATATAACTTGTTTTTACCACAAAATGCAAGCTTTTCATTAATTCCCCTGCGTTGTACGTGATAATTTGTGCTGTCCTATCTACAGACCGAAGACAGTAAAAACAGAATTTTTATTCTGGCGAATCAGTCTCCGCGATGAACAGTTATTTTAAACGAACAAATTTACATTAGGAACACCTGCTTTTAGCCTCAAATCTTCGCAGGGTATGCGGCTTTTATGAAAATCATTGCAAAAGTTGTCATAATTTACCGATGATGTAAATTCCTCAATTCTAATCACCACTATCACTTAACTTTCTACTACTAATTACTTACTGGCAAACAGCAGCCATATTGAAAACAACTTCAAATATAGCAGTGCTATATTCGACCACATTTTCTCCCGATTATTTGGTTGCTCCGACGGCTCTTGAGTTCTTTCTGTAATGTCTCGCCAAATATTTGTTACATCGGATCATGAGGTCCGGTTTCGAGCGGCAGAGTGTCGAACTCTCGCTCGCTCTGCAACAACTTCCCGGATACATGCACGTAACAAGTTCGTCATGTAAACACTAATTTTAAATTGCGTCGCGTGACTCCCTGGCGTGACCCTCACGTCCGCATCCTGAACTTGATTGACATTTCTTGTTTGAAACCTACCGTGACCGTCGGAATTCTTTCTCTTAATCCAACGGGGTTAGAATCAGTGTTCTTTCGCACTCACCGGCCTGAAAACTAAATGTTAAACTAACCACTAGTTTCGGTCTTTTTGTTTCCTGTTAGAAACGATTCCATCCACACCATTTGGGCTTCGATTTCAGAACGTTTTAAGTCGCTTACTTGTAATAGGAGTTAATTATAGAACTCTTATAGGCTCCGACAAATTAATTAAAAGTATCAGAAGTATGCTGGCAGCTTGGCAAGGAACCAGACAGGAACGAGAGTACGTATCGTGTGATCACATTGTCAATGATCTCTCGTCGTGGAATCGTTCTTTCTCGCGCAGAAAAAGTGGCGTGATGATCGGAAGATAAAAATTTTTCAAAATCGCTGCACAGCAAATAGTTGTTGAGAGTTGCTCTTTTTTATCGCTAAAATGCGCAACTATTTCAGATAGGTTACTGTGAACATTCAGGGACCATTTTTCGCATTATTTTATTTCTTCGTCTTACATGCACTTAAATAAGATAAAAATTGATTCGAGAAAGAGTGAATGCGACATTCAATATCCATAGTTTGATTGTTGTGGAGTGGTTTATGGTGCTGGATCAATAAATGTGAAGGTATTTGAAGCAAATTCTTAATCCTGCCGTACTCTGGATTTATCCTCTGTGGTATGATCTCAACCTCTTGCGCTCAAACAACATCGTTGCTGGAACACCCACGTATAACAACCCCCGTGGGGTACTCCCTTATATAGGCTACTTGGGTATGTGCGTCCCCAAAGGGTATGGGTTTTGTAGGGTATCGAATTTGGCCATTTTGGTCTTAGATGGGGTATGGTTTTTGCACTCTAGTCTTGAATTAAGTATGTTTTCTTAGAAGGCATCTTACCTAATAAAAACATAAACATTTTCTTTAACACTTGTCTGAACTGAGGAACTCTTAAATAGGGTTTAAAACTTTTGGTCAAGTCACAAATAGGGTAGGGAAAATCGCAGAATTTGGCCTTAAATAGGATAAGGGTTTTGGGAAACAGACGGCACACCCACACCCAACTTTTCTGGGAGTACCCCCCCCCCCCCACCGGGATAACAACCCTCGTGAACCAGTGGACTTAAATTCAGGCATTTAGGCATGTTATTATTGGAACCTGTCCAGCCCAAATATTGAAGCCGGTTCTTGGTTTAGAAAATCTGAAACGATAGTTGAATGTAAAAGAAAATATTTGCATTGTATTAAGCATAACGACTTTGAAATGAAACAGACAACCTCGTTCCCAGGGTCTCTGATATTCCCGCCCTGGGAAGATGAGAGACCCTGGGAACGGAGTTGAGACTGAAAGAGGAGGCTGAACGTTTGCTACGAAAGTAGTCGTACTTCTTAGACATGAATCAGAATGTGCTTTGCAAACACAAAGCCAAAAGTCTGTCGAGAAGCTCAATAGCCTAAATTGTCAGTACATACGTAACATACAGGAACCTTTTTAAGCTAACTTGGAAAAATCAGGTTCTTATATGCGGGTGTCCATTGTAATTATATTCACAATCGCATATTCACGTATAAATTAAATTATGATCCACCAAATAGTTTCGCTCGCGCACGATTGGTCTAAACACGTCAAGTGACTGAATATTTCCCCAGCTAAAACCGGGGAATATCCGAGTGATATTACCCAAATTTCAAATATGCGCGTGTTGCCAAAAACATTTGAGGATAATAAACACAATAGCCTCCATTTGGCGCGAGAATATGCTCGGATATTTGTTCTTGGACATTATCTGTTCCTCATAGCTCACAGTTTTCCTCGAGCTACGCGCTCGGAAAACTGTTCGCTTCTCGGAACAGATAATGTCCGCGGACAAATATCCGAGCATATTTTCGTGCCAAATGGGGGCTATTGTTTATTTAGCTGTTCATCATTTGAACATCATTACGGCAAAATTCACCAACAGCAGGCAAAACACAAACATCGCTGGCGAAGGTCGTATCGTTTCCGCCATATTGCACAGATCTGTATGACAACATTTTGGATCACATGATTTTCCAGCTTCTTTACAGTGTGTGTCCTTACACGCTTCTGCCATGGCGCAAAATTTGGAAAAGGTGTTCTTGGTTCCTTCCTGGCTGTTGTCGTCGTGTTCCACAAGTTGTTCTTTGACACAAACTTCGTCCTCTGGAGCAGGACAGTTGGTAACTTTCAAGCTCCTTTCACAGTCTTCCCAAGAGTTTTCTGACACGCACGTGTAGCATTTTAGGCCCACACTAAAGCAAGGCACTGCAAAGTAAAGGGAAAAGATGAGTTCAGTTCTCACATAGTCTCATACTCTTTCTGACTAATGACATTTATATATACAGTGAAACCCCGTTAATCCGGTCACCAACGGGCCACAAATCCATGACCGTATTAACGGGCTTATTTATATAAGAAAATGGCTGACTGAGCCAGGAGTGAGCTTTTGTTCAGGCCAGAATAAAGCGGTCGTAATAACGAGGTGACCGTATTAACGGGCTAGCCGTTAATTAGTTAGGCGGGGTTCCACTGCACTAGCTTTACGACGCTCTCTAATGGTATACCATGCAACATCCCACCAGTCATTTGTATTTTCTCGGTACTCACACGAGTCTTTTATTCTATGCCAACGAATAAGATCGCGGCGCACGATGGGAAGGTTGGGTGCAATACCGTCCAGTCGAGTTTAGAGCGGCTTTCCCGTATTCTGATTGGCTGTATTTTTCATGGCATTGTGTGAATACGTATGTAACCTCCTACGCGTTACATTCGTTCAGCTGGTCACGTGGTAAAGAATATTGCGTGGCAAAACCAAAATATACGCCGTCCGCGATCTGCCTTTGTGGCCGAGCAAGTGACGTAATTGCTTCAGTATCACTTTTGGATGGTCACGCAATCTTCATGCTATCTTTTCATTCGAAAGGAAGATGGCTTGATGAACCTACAAAACGCTTGTACAAGGAGCCAGTAGAACAACAGAAGGTTTTCCGGAGCTGTGTTCAAATCTAACTAAGGCCGAGAAGTGTTCGTGATCTTTTGTGTTGCATTGTCAAAAGTTTCCAAGCGAGAATTTGCATCACTAAAGCTCACCCAGATACCGTATCACTATGTGCTAGAGGCCATAAACTCGCTTCCCGGTTCCGCTCACGAACAAACAAACAAAGAAACAAACAAAGAAACAAACAAATTGAGAATACAGAAATGTACCACACTCGTGATACAGGCGGCTAATCTCACGCAATGCGATCAAGATTTTTTTTTCATTTAGCCCTTTCCCTAGTTCTGAATGACGTAATGGTACATTAAGAAACCTCTGACGACATATCGTAAAATTCCGCCTTTTAGCTTCCCGGTTATATAAGCCCGTCTACATATGTAAACCAAAAAAAAAAATTCCGGTTATATTAAAGTTATCAAGCCTCCCGATCATATAAGCCCATTTATATGTAAACCAAAACAAATTCCGGTTATAAGCCCTCCCCACTCGGCTACATAGTCCCATCTTTATGTAAACCAAAAACCTATTCCGGTTAGAAGCCCCCCGGTTATTAAGCCCATTTATATGTAAACCAAAAAAATATCCAGTAATATAAGCCCATTTATATGTAAACCAAAATAAATTCCGGTTATAACCCCCCACCGGTTACATAGTCCCATCTCTATATGTAAACCAAAAAAATTTCCGGTTATCAGTCCCCCCGCCCCGGTTATATAAGCCCATTTATATGTAAACCAAAAAGATTTCCGGTTATAAGCCCCCCGATTATATCATCCCATCTATTTATAAGCCGAAAACCTTAATCCGGTTATAAGCCCCCCGGATATAAGCATTTTTCTTGTTTCGTTAATATAACCAGTGGAGTGTGGTACAATATTTCTTACTACCTCGTTAGATACCATTAAAGAAACTGATTAGTGTTTTAAGTGTACAACGGTTATTAAAAACCAAAGGAAAGGCTTCACGTTCATCAAAGGTCAAAGGGCTTTATTTGGAAACCTCCGGTATTCGCCATTATTGGTTTATTACGGATCATTGGATAATGCAATTCAAGACTTTTTATTGGCTTAGCCAGCATGTTATATTTGTTGATTATGAGAAAGCTCCATACAATGGCCAAAGTGCTTCGCGTTTTTCTTGTTCCCAAGAAGATAAAACGTGCTTTAATACTGCTCTTTGTTTCACCAGCTAATGGACCAATTTCGATATATTAAAATTCAGCCTAACGCAATAGAACTCAGCACGAGGCCCTGGGGAATAAACCCCACAAACTCTGTAGTTATTCCCTAGAGCCTCGTACTGAGGTCTATTGTTTTAGGCTGAATTTTAATATATCGAAATTGGTCTATTTCGAGACCGTTCTTTTATAGAGGGCTTATGATCAGAATTAACGGTAATGCTGTTTGCTATGCCACTAAGTAGGCTGAAGGGCCCAAAGCTATTTTTAATTCATCATTACCTCATTTAGACTGGAGAGAGGTTTGTTTGTCAAAAAAACCTCATTTAAAACATTTATCTTAGTACATATCTCAACGGAGATTTATATTTACATTTTTTTAATGTCCAACGAGTGTAGTACTGAGTGGGCTATAATCATATCATATTCAACAAGCGCTGTTGGAATAATCGTTTCTATCAGTAGATACGACCATTTGCAAGCCCGCGATATCAGTCAATCTTGGTAATATTTCATTTTATAAAAGAAGCCTAGAAACCGGTTGTGGTCGGTTATGTTTGTTAGACATGGCATGATGGCTGCTAAGCCAATCAAACTCTCGAAATACCTCATTCAATGTCTCAGGTAGATTCTCATAAAGCCAATATAGGTGAGAGAGCATTCTTATCCCTCGGGCTAGCAAAACTCGTTCAGATTTAAATGTTACCTACATGGTGATTCAGGAGGTTATTCGCTCAGTTTCACGCCGAGTTAGACAAGGTGTTTTCACAAAAAAAGTACAGTCCAAAATATTGTACGCCCTCGCCGAAACTGATAACCGAACCTGGTTGCCAGCTGTTGATTTTATCCACTGTAAAAGAACTCGCAGCAGTTTTTCTGAGATCGCAGAGAAATCGGCCTGAAATTCGCATCTAGTGAGAGATTAACCATGCAAACTGAAACTCAAGGACGAAATTACCACGTTATTTTATTGATTTGCGATATTTTAAGAATTTTATCAGCACTCTTAATATATATAATGTATCGTAGCAGACTTTTAAATCGCATAGACGCATTGGCCAATATGAATTAGAATAGAAAGTAAAAAAAAAAAAAACCCACTAAAATGGTCAAACAGCAGTTCAAGAACTTTTTGCCGAGATTAAATTTCTCATTACTTTGTTTAGTTTTAACTCTTATAAGTTTATTTTTGTTACTTTTTGCTTTGCTATTTCTTTTACTGCGTTACTCGTGTCTGCGTGACTCAGTTGTAAACCATACCGTTAATTAATTAATGTTTATGCACGTACATTTTAACACGCTGCCATAAGCTTTTACCGAGAGCAATTGTTATCTCATCTTAAATATTTATAAATTGGCGGACGTACTTTTTAAATCCTTTTGCAAGCTCGATTTTCTATTGTTTGGTGTTTTGTAATAGCTTGGAAACGATAGCTGTGGTTTTCAATCCAGACCTGTGTTATTAAACCCCTCATGATACATAATATTGACTCTTCGCGCTATAAAACACCACAATATGCAAACTAAGAATTTGGCTATTTCTCAATGTTTATATTTTTTCCACCGTCACTAATAGAACAGAGAGGACTTTGTGTTCATTGACACTTGTAAGAGGTTTTGAAGAGAGCGGGAGCAGAGCAATTTGACCAAGGGTGAAATTTACCCATTCGCCCCATGGGTGAGATCAGTGATGCAACACAGTCCTTGAATGAAAATTACGAAGCGCGTGTTTCGCCTGAGATGGTGGCATCTTCGGAGTTCCATACAACTTTGGGTTTGTAGCGTATAAATTGCAGTTGTCTCGCTTCAGATACCCGTGTTTTTAACAACAAAAAATATCTCTCAGACAACTCACCATTAATCACCAAAATGACAAGCGACAGGCCCGGAATACAATTTGACCTCATAGTAGCGTATTCTTCAGGTTTAATAGCTTCGTGGGCTACTGCTTCTTCCTTCGGTTTTTAGAAACAGCACCCTGATCTTCGAGATTTGGACCTTGCCTTCTGTCGCTTGGCCTTACCTTGGCCGCAGCGAAAATTTTCGTGACGTTGACCGTTTCGCGTGACTTTGTCGTGCGCTCGCTTCGGTTGTTCCAGTCAAACGATTTTAAAATTGCAGAGGCCATTTAAGCTCATTTACATGTACGTCTAACGTTGACAGTGGGCGTGTTCAGCCAGTCAGTGAAAATAATGAATACAACAAATAAACCTTTCATTTCATTTTCTTTGCCATCGCTTGGCCGGCCTAAGTCGTTCAGTTTGATAAATAGAGTAAAAGAAATTAACTGTCTGAAGATTAGTTTCTTCCTCAGTGCCTTTTAATATTTCTTTTTCGTGAAATTAAAACTGCTGTCTGTGTTATTCCGCACTGTTGACTGCAGTCATCAAGCGTGTGAGTGGGGGCAGAAGCAGCAGGATCGAGCGCTGGCAAGTTAAACGGATAATTCGACTGGAATAACGAATTTCGTTTAGATTTTTATTCAAAGATGTTTTGAAAGAGCGAGTACGTTTTGTGGGTCTGCCCGGGCTCATTGATTTGATATTCAACCTTGACAGTTAAAGTAAAAGGATAACAAACAGAAATGTGAACATGAATGCATATTGGGCACTGTTGGGTGACACCACTAAAATATATGCTGTGTTTTTAAATAGCATCGTCTTACGACTCTTGCTGACATCGATGCTCAGTACATGTAATAATTCAGGTACTTTGCACTGTTTGTTTCTGCGCCATTGGCCATTTCATACATACTGTTTCTTTTTTTGATGTTAAATTCAGTTCTGATTTTCGCTGCTTGTCCTCTTTTTGTATTTCAGTTTGGATAAGATGACAGCTAACCGACTGTAGACTGAGACTTTGTTTTGAATTTGCTAGTTTACTTTGGGCTGACAAAACATTTGGTTTTTAACCGTTCCCCAGACAGTAGCCATGACTCGAATGAAGAGCTGACATTCGATTGATGATGATTTACTTTCGCCATGATGTTGCATTTAATTTCACGCAGATGTTCTAATTAGCCATGGCATTAATACTTCATGTTCCTTTTGATCCCCCCGGGTTTTGAGTTTAAAAAAAAAAATGTTTAAATCTGGTAATTTTCAAGCACCCGTTTCAAATCTGCACGTGTTTATTCCAACGAAGAAGCTGAATAAACATCAATGTAAACTGTTTTTGACGTTGACTGTGTACACTGACTACACTTGTCACTCCGACATGTATTGAAAGTGTCGGTGAATTTAGAATTAATCATTTTGAAAAATGATTAGGAAACTACTTTCTATTCCAGCTGAGATGTGACAGCTTCAATTCCTTGAACTAATTACACCAAACCATTTTAACGACGAATTTGGATGCACGTTAATTTAACTCAATGGTAGGTTTCACGAGACCATTTCTTAACGCAATATTGTTGCATGGAATGGGAGTATATCTGAATTATGGCGTCACAGACATTTGAAAACTTTTCGAAACCTTTGTATATTATATTATTCTCTCTTTTTTTAGATGAATATATTTTATAAGAATATCGTGGAGGAAATGTGTGAAATGTTGAGAATAAAATCGAGGCTGACATTTTGTAACTTGAAAGAACACCATTTTGTAGGTTGAAAATTTGAATATATAACACAATTGTGTGTTTTTAACCAAACCGTATAAAATTCTTCCTTTCTCTAAACGGCAAAACTGGCCAAAAAGCAACAAAAGAAGCACCAGCCGTATGTTCGGTGCTAATAAAATTTCTGCAAGAAGTTATGTGTGTTACATCAGGCTTTATTGCCTGTATTCCGGTTCCAAAATTACGTCAACGCCATCCATAGAGTGAAACAACTGTAAACTTCTTTTTTCAATGAGAATATATTTTATAAGAACATCGAGGCTGAAATTTGCGAAATTTTAAGAATATTCTAAGAATAAACCCGAGCCTGAGATTTTGAAAAGAATATAATTTTTTGTGTTGAAATTAGTAAATACAATACAGTTATATGTTTTTAGCTAAAATATTTAAAAATTATTCCTTCCCTAAACGGCAAAAGCAGCCTAAAAACAACAAAAACAACGCTAGCTGTACGTTCGATCGAATAACATCACTGCAAGAAATTATGTATGCCTTTATTATGTAGGCTTTACTAACTGCAGTCCGGCTCGAAAATTACTTCTGATGATAGAACAGATAATTTGAAGTTTTGTCGACATAGTCCACTTTTTGTTCCTATAATCCAAGAGTATTCAGAAGAATATTTTCAGCCTGGGCCGGAAAAACAATATTCTTATTAAAAAAAGAGTGTAAACAATACTCCAATACATTTATTTACTGAAAATGTCATACGCTATAAATTATCTAAGAATATTTACAAGAATACTTTCAGCCTAAAATCGGCAGAAAAATAAGAATATTCAGCCTAGGCCGGAAAAACAACATTGTCAAAAAAGAGGGTAATTGAACTTTGCCACAGCTCGTGTAAAGGTCTGGTCTACCACACGCGACATTAATATTTTAGCTCAATATGTTGCTGTCTTGGAGATTACAATAAGAATAGACCCTTTTCGTAAATAGCCGCCAATTATAAATTCTTTTGTGAGTATTAAAATTAGCCTCTTTAACGTCGTTTTTGAGTAGATAATTCAAGAGAAGTTTTACTTCCAGACGAGTTTAGTGATGCTAATTTAAATGAATACAAAGGAATTTTCAATTGGAAGCCATTCCTGAAAAGGGTCTAGTGTGCCACATGTAAAAGGTTTGCGGTGTTTGAAGTTAAAATGTTGCGTGCTTTTTGCTGGTTCTTAACATTCCAAACAACACGTCCGTTCGGTTTCTTTGATAAGTACATTCAGAACCTTCTCTAATTGGTTCCTGTAAGCTTCCGCATTTCCGCACTAAAAGGTCTTGACAGGAAGTCCCCAAAGGGCTTAATCACCAGTGATGATTGTACTGTGTAAAAGCTGTAAAAGCTGTAAAAGCTGTAAAAACGGTGGGGAAGTTGAGGGGGGTGGGGGTTAGATATTTCAGCATGAACACGAAGTTTGTTTTGTTTTTGTAGTCTGGATAAAAACAAAGACCTGAGAGATATCCTGGGAACAGCCAAGTCAATCGAGAAAATGAAAGAAGTATGTCAGACGTTGAAAGAGAGAATTCAGGTTTGTTTGCATGGGTAGCTTCCTACATGTGTTCAGTTAGTTGAAGTGCTGCGCGAAGAAAGGGCAAAAAAAAAACTTCTATTAAAAAGTAATGCCCAGTAAATAAATACTTTACGGGCAATGGAGCAATCTTATTGCAAAACAGTCGATACAGAGAGGTAGAAAAGAACGAAGGTGGTACATGAGTTTGACGCTCTATTGTACCACATGTCATCCCTCTTTTTCCTTAAATCATTGTGCTAGAAGTGGAAAAAAAAAAAGAGAGAGAGCAAAAAATAGCCGCGCGATCAGAAGATGCAAGACACGCGAGTCTCGTCTTCAGTTTCCCGCAGGTATTTTTTTCTCGTGTAGTTCTCTGTTCCTTAGACTGCTTGTCGTCTAAACTGTAGAGACAGAATGCTCGATTGTCACGTTTTCAACGAAGCAGAGAAATAAGAGGATAATGTTACTTAGTCGTTTCATGGAATGATTTTTGTGTTAGTGTCGTCTTATTTTTCTTTATTTACTGTTCTTTGACTAAACATTTAATATATCATTTCATAAGTCAAAAGAGTCGATTCGAAAGGTGTAGAATTAACAGTTCTTGCTATGTATGTATGTATTCCTTGTAGAAAGATATCGAAGAAAACGTTGAACCGGACTCCACAGTTATTCCTTATTGGAGATGTCAGCCATACATAAGGTAAGAATGTTAAATTTCGGGCAGGTGTGCGTGGGATTATTGTATGCACAGTACCAGGAGAGTAAGCGTTACGTCAGTTTACATAATGCAAACACAACACAGGAAATTTTAAAAAAGACTTCTGCTCACTAGCGGCTAGGATTGGCATAAGTATTTTGAAGCTGTTTACATCATGTCACGAAAGCAAGAACCGGCCATTTTATATTTCTTTCGCACAATAAAGCCAACGAAACCTTGTTTACATAGCCTCACTCAATCGAAAACAGAGATAAGAACAGAACATGTGTTAACTAAAACTTTCCAAGAAAGCCATGATCGTTAATCGACCATTAAAGCTCGTCAAATTGCTTAGCAGGGTTCTTCTTTGCAATTAGTCGTCTTACGCCTAAAGCGTTGCATGACAGTTAAAATATAACGGATACAGAGGAATGTAACGTAGTGCGTGACTCCCTCTGTCACGAATTATATCTGGTCCGTTTTAGGAGGAGTCTGCTTGTGTATTTTCATCGTTATGAGTCTACGTCTGGGGAATAATGTTCGAAGCTGAATCAGCGTTAACTCGAAATTTAATTTAGGGGGTGTCTCTACAGACCGCTTCAAATAACTGGATTATCAGACTCGAAACAGAGAGACAGGAGGACAGTATATTGTTTCTTCAGGGACTCCTTCGCTCATTTTTGTGTGTTTGCTTTAGATCGAATCCAGGAGTAAAGAGAACGCTGGAACAGATGAAGGAAGACGAAGAGAGAATCAAAGAGGTTACAAAAGCCAGAGAAATGAAGAAAGCCATGAAGAAAAAGAAAGTGAAAGCGCGAAATGGTAGTTTAACTGTTTTGTTGTAACCAAGCTGTTGTATTTGTAGAAGTCACAGTACAGTGGCTAATGTTTAGTGTAGTGCTCAAGATCAAGAGACTGAAGGATCATGATCACTACTTACTGTATCCACACTTCTGTGGTGGACGTTAAATTGTATATAGGTTTTAGCGTAGACGAGTTCTGGCTCAAGTAGACTGCGTTTACATATAGAGTGGTTTATCGAATTTAATTCGTGTAGTGAAACCGAAAGCAGTCGCTTGCACATGCTTTCACGCGCTTTCCCACGCTTTGCATCAGCTGCGTGTATTTGCCTGCGGTTTTGATTGGTTCAACGGATTGTCTTTGCTTTTTGTGATTGAGCAGAGTGATGTTCGATGATTATCAATCAGGACTGAACGCCGCTGCAGTATAGCAAGAGACCATTTCACAGTTGTCTGCTCGGTGTCCTGGCCTTTAAATGGCAGCGAGGCTGGAGGTGACCTTGCTTTGATTCAAACCTCTCTGCTTTTGTCATGTAAATACAACTTGCTAGCATTAGAACAACTTCATTTACACAACAAAAGCAGTGAAGTCTGTATCAAAACAATGTCCTCCAGCCTCGCTGCCGTTCGAAGGCCAGGTCACTGAGCAAACAACTGTAAAATGGCCATTGGTTGAACGCTGGTTTAGGCGTGGCCTTTCTGAACAGTGGGTTTAACTTCGTCTAGGTTATCTACTCGCTTTGTTAACGCTTGGTCATTGTATTCCTGTTATGTTTTGCGGATGTAACAATTTACTCTCACACTGCGGCCTTACATGATTTTGAGCATAATTTGATGACGTGTCTGTGCCTTTATTCCACAGAAAGGACTTGGTCGATCTGTGCAAAGTGTGCAGTCAATCCTAAGGTAGATACCACAGTGCTACCATGTTTAAAATACTCTCTTACATGAACCTAGTCCTTGCTGGCTGGTTGGTGACGTCACTGCTCGCAATAGAGCCGTGAAGGCTCGAAGAGCTAAGCTGTGTAAGCGAATCTTAGTCAGTAAATTCAGATAAATTTAGCGCGATGAATTTTTTGTTCAGATAAATTTAGCGCGAGTTTTCAATGAATTTTGCGCCAGAATAATGTAGAATATGGCTGATGTTTTTTCTGGAATTTCGAAGTTTCTCTTGCTATAGTTCTCGTGCCTAATGATGATGGTTTTCAGCAAGAGAAAATGAGGAAGAGTCTCGTGTTTCCGGCAATCGCGTGGCGTGGCGGACATGTTGGATATGCAATCGCAAATCTTTTGTTATTTTCATGCAACATGGCGTCGATGACGTCGCGTTAGTGAAAACCAAGAATACACTCAAATAATATTTTTATTTCTTTTCCTTTCAGGGCATGAAATGTTCATTCGATCTGTGTCGTATTTGTTGTCGCATCAAGGCAATTGACGAGGCCTTGGACTGTCGAGGTAATTATTGACATAATTAGAACGGACCTAAAAAGTTATTGCTAATTAAACTAATCATAATTTCATGCCTTGTGGATTATCAAGTTCAATTTTAAGATAAGGTAAAACGATGTTTGAGATGTGTTCGTTCATACACGGTTTTTCCATCGGTCAACAAAGTTTGTTACTTTCTATTACTTTCTTGCTATCTGCATAGATGAAATCAGCTGCTGGCAAGGTATCTCTTTTTCTACACACAGAATTACTTTCAAAAACTACATTTACTTTAACAGAGTATATAGAGTGTTTTGTTCCGACAGTACCCGGCGACCCTGGTCACGTGAGGATTTAGCAGCCTTGGCCTATAGCTACGTTAAGTGGGGGGGGGGGNGGGGATGGGGGAGCGGTCTGTACCTCAGGGTACATGTAGATAGAACGTAAACCACGTGAAGCGATTAGAATCAAAATTCTCTCAATATAAGGCACAAGTCTTGTTGAAAAGAATACACAAAACGGAGTAATACATTGCCTTTGTAATGAGAGAGTCATTTAAATGTCAATTTCGGAGTTATCAGTCAATTTCGGGACTTTACGGTAGCATTGCTTAGTACATAATAGCTACATAATACATTGCTCCGTTTGCCTGATGTACATTTTTCTTTCAGGACATCGAATCAAAGCAGCTCGTTTAAAAGCAGACGATTCAACCCCGAAAGAAATTAATAATCACCTTGTTGAAAAAGAGCTTAACAAAACGGTGGAAACTGAACAGTTACCGAGTTGACAGACGACAGACGACAGACGAGGGATAGAACTTGGATGAGTTTGGCAGTCGAATGTACAAACTTGGTGCTTTTTTCCACTTCTAAGCCCGGCGACCTCAGAATGCAATTACCTTGGTCGCGGTGACGGATTCTCAATACTAGTGAAATCTGTACCATGGTCTTTCGATTCAGTTCTGCCGACAAACATTCTTCTTACCACACAATTGAAGTCGTGATGTAATCTGGTTCCAAGATCTCTTGTGTGGGGGCGGGGGTAGATCCAGGAACGGGATAATTCTCGCATGCCACAATCCTGACACGGTCGCGTGATACAGGTCGCGGATTTGAACATATCGTCCTCAAGTGAATTGGGAACGAGGGAGTTGTGATGTAGGGCTGCGGGACAAGCTTTTTATTACGAAAAGAATGACGTTGTTATTGCTGTTCGCGGAGAAGTAATTACATTTGTGTATTTTATTTGTTTGATTAGTTAGCTAATTACGAGAAGATTAGATTTAGAATATTCTTAGAATAAAGTTGTGAGATGATCCGAAAAAGAACAGATTTTAAACCTAGTGGTTATGCCATGAAATTCTATCACGAGGTTATCGTAAGTTGTCTGTTACTAGTATCCACGCTCGTTTCGTTAAGAGAGACATTTCTAAGTTCTTATAACCGGAATGCTTGATAATTTATTGGTAGTGAAAATAGGCGAGTGTTTCATTGAGACCAGTTGCGTTTTTTTTCCGTTGGCAGTTCTTGGCGCTGCTCAGGACACCTGATACATGCTTCATACAACACTCAAACGACGGTTCTTCCCACAGTAACTAAATATGAAACTCACTCGAAATGAGTGAAAAACTGCAATCTATATTAAAACCTGTGGGAATGGGCCATTTCTGTTTCAAAGCGAGTCCTTGTGCAAAATTTAACCTTTCATACGAAAATGAGTTTGGTTTGCATAAAAATAAACCTGTAACAGGGACACATTTTCGTATGAATGGTTTCGCACCAAGACTCGTTTTGACACAGAGGCAAAAGGCAACTCCGAAATGACCTGTTGAAACTAAGGCATGACCCAGTGGCTCTCATTATTTCTAAGGATATAAAATTAATTAACCAGGATTTTAGTTGATGGAATAGTTCCTTATTAAAATTGTATTGTAAGGTCAGGTAGTATGGAAAGATTCAACTTTACACTGTGGAGAACAAGACACATGTTAAGTTGACTGAGCCCGCAGGCATAGGTGTTGCCAAGCAAGTGAGGTATCCTGGTGACGACAAGCTCAATCGACAATCTCGTCCCAGGGCCACAGCTGGACTTTGTCTGAGGAACCCACAGACCGTGGGTACTAGACGACTCCATAGCTATAGAAGCTAGCGTGTGTCACTTCTGATAAGATGTCACGTGTTGTCCAAGAATATGTCGCTATGAAATTATAAGAACGAGTAGTACTTGAAGAGAGGTTGGTCAGGAGCCGGTCGTTTAGCAGATTGAGTCTTTTTCCTTGTTAAAGTTGACCGAAGCTGTTCCCGAAGCTCTTTCCCTCTTAAGTGCGGCGGTAACGGATGCGATGATGTCCTACTTCGAAGAGGTTTGGGTGTTTCACTGTCAGAATAATCTCCCAGTTCAACACTGCTTCTCTCCAAGTCGATGAGTCTAATTGATAAGCATGGGGAGGCTGACATGGAAGAAGCTATTTCGATTTCGTCCAAGGTGGAAATTGTTTCTGAATCGTCCAAGGTGAAACTTGTTTCTGGACTAAGATCTAAAGCCTGGCTGTCTTTTCTGCGCTGTAAAAACCGAATCAACGACAGAAGTTCAACATCTTGACGTACGTCGTCCGTTACAATTTTTCTAGTCAAGTCTTCTATTCTGTCAAACGCTTGCTCTTGGACTAAAAAGTATAAATCAACCATACTTGGTACGACCAAGTTCTCTTTTTGGAGATTTTCATTAGACGATTCTGCGCCAGCAAGTTTCTCCTCGTCAAACCCAACTTTCTGCGTGTTCCTTTCGGTTTTGTTTTTCCGCCGTAATTTTGAGTTTTGTAGTTGTCTTCGTCTTGCTATACGGCGAAGTCTGTTAGAATAGATCGCTAAAGTTGGAAAGCTAACTTTGTCCCTTGTGTTAGATCCTCTCTGTTCAAGCAAATCCGGATCTTCACCACTGGCTTCACCCGAATGAATGTCACTTACATTATCATTTCTTTCACGTTGGCTTCTGTTTTTGAATCCCAGAAGTTCAGTTAGTCTATCGAGAATAAAATCGGCCATCTCAAATTCCTTTGATTGTTTGTCTGTGTTGTCTTTTACGTCCTCGTAAGAATCATTCAAAATTGCGACAAAAAAGTTAAGAAATATAAAGGCCATCAGCATATTAAACGAAAACCCAAACAGAGGCCCAAGAACGCGGTTTGCTCTTTTCAATTCGACCAAACCCATTTTCCCGCCAAGACACATGAGAAACTCTGAGTACAGCATACGCTGAAATGTGGAATAGCGTTGAATGTCACTACCAAACGCCAGTAAACCAAACTGAGCGTACGATAGGAAAATGATGATAAAAATAATCGAATAGGAGAAAAGTAAACTTCTAGACGCACGAAATGATGACATCATTATACTGATATGAGGGTTGAAACGGATCATGCGCAGTAGCTTCACAGTTACAATGAAAACTGCTATGGCTAAAACAGCAGTCTCTGCGTGGTGCCAAGAGATGGCCTCTCCAAAGCTCACAGAAACAAATGGGTTTTCTTTCACCTTTATAGCGCTGTTGAGAACCATTTTCGATTTTATGACATAGAAGACCACCACTAGAAAGGAAAAAATTATTTGTAAAATTTCAACCCAGTTCCAGACGTCTCGAAAATAGGCGCATCTCTTTCGATAGATATTGTAGACCTCTTTCAGAACAAAGAGAAATACCATGATGATAAACAGCAACTGACAAATGAGGTAAAACTGGTAAAAACCAGTTTGAGTGCTTGTAAGCAGCAACGTGTCGATCGTCGGGAAAGGATTGCCATAACCAGTCGGCAAGATCTCAAAATGGTACGTTGCAATACTGAGGTAGCCTGTGTTGGGATTATAAATACTGAATTGAAGCAAGATTGCGCGGGTTTCGCGGTCGATCCAACCGAATTTGTGCAAATTGGAAATAACTGCTCTGGCAGTGTCGTTTGTGTATCCTAAATTTGCAACATAGCCACCTCCAGCATAAACATGGAAGAGACCCCAGCTCGGTGACTCCTGGAGACTCTCACTTGGCGCGTATCGCCATGGTGCCGGGCATAGGTCAGAAACATTGGCCCATTCATCGGAGCCCGTGAATGGCTGCCAGCCTGGAAGGTTTAAATGTGTTCTGTCCTCTTCATCGAAGCTGTAGAAGTCATTACAGTGTTTTATTACGTTTTGAGCCTCTTCTGGGACAATACAAGAATCTAAAACAGAAAGAATAAGCAAGAATATTATTTATTTCGCATACGTTTGGGAAGACTTTCCGTAATTTGGAAGGGTTTCTTTTTTCTCAGTGTCACCATATTTAGCTGTCAGTCGAAAGTGTTCCTACATTTCCAGTCTTTGAGGTCTGACATGACATTAGAAGTGGAGATGTGAAAGACTCGGTGATAGCTTCCACATCTCTCTCTCAGCGAGTCTAATTTGCTTGTTTCAAGATCTGTAGAAATATACTCTCTGTCAAATTTTAAACTTACTTCTCTGAATTCTTAGTTGTCTCAAGCGAGGCATTCCGAGGAGAATGGACATTTTGTTATCGATGTATTCTTGTTCTTTTACTTTCTCTTTGTTATACCACTCCGTAGCGTAAATACCATTCACAAACTGACCATCCAGCCACTTCCAAAAATACCTTGGATCTTTTGCCTGGAAAGGAACAATAGCCATAGATTATATATCATATACGCATAAAAATGTCTTGACATAACACAAGTGGATCTTGATAGTAAGAAAAGTTTTGTTTCACGACGTTTATGAGCCATTTCTGAATTACCTTAAGCCTCTGTTTCAAAACGAGTACTCATGCAAAACCTTTCATTTGAAAATGAGTTTGATTTGCATGAAAATAAACCTGTAGGGGTATACATTTCCAAATGAACGGATTCACCCGAAGACTCGTTTTGACAGAGAGGCAAAACGCAACTCGGAATAGCCTATTTACGAAAGGGGAACATTTCCTAAGGTATTCGTGTCCGACATTTATATGATACCTTACTTGGATTTTCGCGTGAAAGGCGCCAAAAATTGTAAGAAATATTGGATGGAATCGGAAGTGCCAGCATGTACTAGTTTCTTTACGAGTGGAGAGCGAATGCGTGTAGCACAAACGTGAATTAAACACTTTGTAAAGTACGCGTGATTTCTTTGTTTCAGAGGAACTGAAATGTGTCAGGCTAGCCAGAGAGGACGGGGTTTCGCACGATATGTTTTTGCCTGACCAAGAAAGACCCAATCAGAAAGCTTGGAATTTGTCTGAAAAATACTTTGCCGTGTAACAGAGAAGAATATTCCTGCAAAAAACCTGATTCATCGAGAAAAAGAATATTCTTTTCGCATCATTTTTGTACGTAGACCTTGGGGTAACAATATATACGCTTAACTAAAACCTGATTCTTACCAAAGAAAAGTTGCTGAAGGTATCTTTAATATTCTTGGTCATGAGATATCCATGATAACTTCTATTACCGTAGCATACAATCGTCAATAATGTGAGAAACAGAAGATAGCCAACCAGCTCTCTGCCAAAGGAGTACATCTTTGCCTCTTTCACGCGGTATTCCCTTGCGTTGTTTAATTCGTCTTCATTTAGGATCTCAACTTCGACACTCGCAGCATGGTTAGCTTCTTTGTTTTCGAAAGGTATTTGTTGTTCAGTCTTCAAGTGATGATTAACGACTTTAGAATCATTTTTGCTAAAGAAACACGCCGTTAGAACAATTAAAAGGACTATCTTGATCGGTTGTAGAACAAACAGGTCCTCTGTAAAGGACACCAGCATGGAGGATAGCCATTGGTTGGAGATTTCTTTTCCCCACTGCAAACTGAAGAAAAATGTAAATGTTGCGGAAACAGAAACCGTAGCAAAGCTGAGAAACCAGGCAATGTATACACAATAGTGGGGTAACATGACGTCCTTTTTGGTTCCGGCGCGCAGTCGTCGAAGCGTTCTCGTCCAGATCGAGCTCTTTTCGTTTGATGCTTCAACAACTTCGTTATCATTCTCCGCGCAGCTTAAACGAGAATGCGTGCTTTTACGTTGCAAACAAGCAGGATTATTTTCTCTCTCTCTCGCGTCGACTTTACTTGAAGGTTTTTCAGAACTATTCTTGAATAAGGCCATGATCAGCAAGTTTATTGGAGTCACTATCAAGGCACTCTCTATTCCAACCACGATTTGCCTCCAACTGAACTTCAACGGGCCAATCTGAATGGTAGGATCGGCTACCTTGTCTGTCCTGTAAAACAGGGCATTAGCCAACATGGCGGACATCAATAAACTAAGACAACAAGTGGCTCTTTGTACTCGGGTGAATTTACTCCAAGGCGGTTTAGTAACAACAGAGAGCCACAGGTGGCCTTCGGAAAAGCTCTTAGAGCCTTTAGAATTCAGCGAATATTTCAACGTTTTCGTTTCCAGAGATGAAATAGGAAATAGAAGTCTGTCTATTTTCCCGTCGCCTTTTTCCAATGCAAACCAAGTATTACTCAGAAATGTCCATGTTTTCCCAATTTGACGATCGCTAATGGTTGCATGGCTGAAATACCACGAAGGATTTTTCCCTGAATTATCGTGTCTGACATGTATGTACTGGACTTCGCCCAGTGACATGGGCAGGTGAATCACGAACGCATCTTCGTTTCCACGTGCCAGGACTGTTCTTGAGGTGATCATGTTCTTGTTGAGTATTATGGGTTGACTTTCTGCCTCGCTTCCGTGAATGACGATGACGACATTGGCATCCGTCCCAGAGCCCCTCCACACCCCTGTCACCACTGTCAGTTCGTACTCGAAACTTGTCTCTTCAGATAGCGGTATATGAAAAGCTGGACCGGTCTAAAGAAACGGAACAAAACATATTACGAGGCAAACTGTTGGGAAACATAATCGCTGCTACTTAAATGATATTTTCTCTAATATGCTTAGTTTCAGTTTTGAGTTGAAGCTGAAACTACATAAACTAGGTTGGGCTTATGGGCATGGGGTACTTCATTAAGTCAAGCCTCGACAAGTATTCCACCCTTGAAAGGATTAGTTGTTTGTGGCCATGCGTCTTAATTTTGATGTAATTTTGTATCTATTACCGGCTAGATAAATAGCAAAAAAAAAAAAAGACAAGCAGCCAACTTATGAATTCTAGCTGGATACACTTGTGCGATTAGAGCATGTCACAAAATTCTTAACAAAAAACAAAAAATAAAAGTGGAGTTATTAAATGTGAATCAGGAAAAACTATAAAGTAAAACATTGCTGATTGTAGTTTGGTCACAGTGAGGTACTGTAACTGGATGTAAGATAGAGTAAAGTAACATAACATAACGTAACGTTAGATAGCGCGACGAAAAGTAACGTAAAGCTATTTTTAGCCCAAACTTTTCATATTCTTCTCGCTAGACGTCCGTTGTTCTCAATCCTCCAAATTATGGTTAAAAGTCTTTTTGGTGTATTATTATACTTTGTTTTTTTCATTTTAAAACAGTTTAGAAGTTCCATCATTCCCCGCGACTTTGCGACCTTTCTTAACAATTAAACGACTAGTTTCCACGGAAAAGAAGAAATCCCTGCTTTTTACCTTCGCTTTATCTCGTTTGTCTGCTCTCCTTCCAAATATCACCACCAGTAAATACAACAACAGCGCAACTATTATAGCGCTAAGGACGGCCACATTGCCAGTTTCGCCCAGTCGCTTAAACTCCTTGAACACGACATCGAAGTCCAGCGTGTTCGGCATCACCAGGACTCCTCCGCCAAATGATGTCAGGTGGTTACACAGGCAATGCAGGGAAGCTAAATCAGATCTTAGTCCAACCTTTTGAAAGGAAGAAATTTATAATTTGTATCAAGATTTTGAATATTTAAATGTACATACACCTTATTTGATGGTTTAACGTATAAAACGCGTGGATATTTCGCTAGTTGCGTACTATTTTTCCGAGCGCCGAAGGGCCTCGTTAAAATAGGAGCAGTGAATAAAATGTCCGCGCCTATTGTATGTTACACATACGCATAAGGACATACGGGATTTTTTATTCTGCTATTATGTCATTTTTGGGGGGACTTCTAGCTTTTGTGATACATCCTGCATCATCCGGAAATATCGTACTAATCGCATAAGGCGCGTGCGAATGACGAAACTAAAATACGACTCTACCGTGCAAATCACGTGAACCGTCTCAAACACCGCCTGGTACAATACGGGCTCATAATTTGCGCGTTTTCTTGACATAACATGGAACAGAAAAGAAGAACTTTTTCTCCAATGAATGGCTTACTCTACATCCTCTTGATAGCCAGCGCTCTTCACTGCTGTCCCAAAACAGGCATGCTTCTTCTTGGATGCTCATCGTGTAATTCCTGTCTGTCCTTGAGTCAAACACTGGCTTCACCGTTATGTTCTCTGGTTTTGGAGGATCCTTGAACTCCACGCATGATCTCCTCTGTCGACCCTGTCCAAAACAAGATCGTTTCTTGCGCCTCTGGGGTCCTTCGTTATTTTCTTCGTAAAGGATTCCAATAAAGTAGGGACCCGGTCTGCTTATCACCTCGTTTAACAGGACCATATCGTAAGCTTCTCCGTTGCAATTACCATGGGAATTCTGGGACGTCAGAGAGCACGACTCATCCGGGATTTTCTTAGTTGCGTCATATTCTGTGACAGTTGGCCGCTGACCATATCGCACAAATACTCTTAACACGGTGGTTCCATTTGGCTTGATCTGATAAAGAGATTTGTGACAAGGTTAGTGGCTTTTATCCAGAGGGACGCGATTATGTCGCAAAATATCCTCAAAACAAATAAAATAACAACTTAAAACAATATCGGTAACTGGAATTCAAAAGGACTGTGAACATTTATTAATAAACATATCTTGTGATAAATTTTATAGCGTTGAGACATGGTGCCCCAAAGAAGACGAAGAGGACTGGAAATAACCCCTTTAAATGATCTCCTAGGAAACAGTGTTTCGCCGAGTTCAAGAATGTAAAGGGCAGAAAGTTTTTTCGAATTTATTTTCCTTTTCTCAAAGACTGGTGATTCACCATTTTTAGCATCGAAAACTCATTGAGTGACTAGGAGATGCTGGGAACATATACGTGTTATCCAGCTTCTCAACTATTTGTTGATACCCGTTTATACTCCAAGGTAGAAAGAGGTTCTGCGAGAGTAAAGACTCCTGCCTCTGATCAGTGCTTGACCCTGGGCGTCTCGATTCTGTGTCCAGGCCCTGTCCAGGCAACTAATCATTAGAGCTCATGCTCCACGCCTTCTACCTCCACCCCACTGAACGATCCCCATGTTAAGGTCATCATACTCACTCTAAGTCTTACAGCGTTACCCTCCGTGCGCGGCAAGTCCATTTCATGGTATTGCATCTTTCCTTCAGTGCTGGGTTTAACAAAGTAAGACACGCTCTCCTCCGGCGGTATTTTTACTTCACGTGGAATCTTAATCTCTATATTCTCCTTGCTATCTTTGACTGTTAACGGTTTTCCTTCATGATCTTTGATGTTCAAGCTCAGGACATGAGACTTCACAAGGGCGGAGCTGCTGTCCCATGTGAAAGGATTGAAGCTGTTCGTAGTCATCTGATAGAAAACATAAAATGCAACTTAAAATTTTACAGCACTTCAATTGCCGTTCACATTTGAACAATTCTGCAATGCTCATGCGTTTATATAAGCATTGATTACAAAGATACCCAGTATTGGGGAGCGAATACGTTAGAGGACCTCATAGCCTATTTAGACAGCGTAGAAATACTGTAACACTATTGTACAGCAGGAATGGAAACTTACCACACTGTCAATGAACTTCGCATTTTTTGCTTTGTCATCAGTTATGGCGCTAAAGGGGAATCTAAAACCTGCTAAATCATCTTTTGTGAAGTTGGTGTTGGAGTCCAGAGAGCGGCGGCTCAGTCTGTTAAGCTCCATGTTCATAGACTTTGTATGAACAAGACGAGGGTCTTGATCCACCATCATTTTGGATAACAGAGCTGTACCAACGTCGTCGATGAGTTTTTCAGTATCTCTGGATATGTTCTCGCTCTGCAAGGCGAAATGTCAGTTGTTTTGTAATTCTGCAAGTTGTCACATCATGAGATATTAGGGAACGTTTTACGAGCAAATCAGTAGCTGTGCACTTCTGACTTCTGCCAAAGCTTAGACGGGCAATCTATTCTATTTTAACCACAAATGTAATGCAGTGTTCAAGAAATGACCCGACCACTAAGGAAGTGAGGATCACCTAGCTCAGATGACTACTGAGGGCGAGAACAAAAAGAGGATTACGATATGGACAACCTTGAAAATTTTTATTTACATTTATTTGAATTGTTCTGCATAAACCTGTAGAAATAGAATTTATTTTTCTAAAGATATCGGGATATTTCTATCTCTTCCGGAGACTACACTGGACTCCGAAGAAAAGATCCGAAACCCCACAAGCATCAAACTTTACAATTTGATTTCAACGTTAGATCTGTTATTCCTACTACGCAAATTTTCCTTCTCGATGCTAGAGAAAAACACTTGCAAAACATTTACATTCGAGAGAAATATAGTTGGTTACTACATGAGGTATTTACCTTAGTTCGTTTTTCCACAGTTTCCTTTGTCTTACTAATCACACTCGCTTTCTCCGCAGCAGAGTTCAGGAGGTTACCGAGACTCAGTACCAGGTTCTCTCCGCCTTGCTCAACTAGGACGGATTCAGAAGCATAATCTTCTTTCGTCTTGCTTTGTAGAAGTGACGTCATAGATGTAAGAGTTTGAAGAGCAAGGTTCTAATAAAAGAATACAGTTAATTTAAATCGAGTTGACATGGACCAGATACAGATTTGATACCTGCTGATATAAATCCCAACAATCCCAATCCCAACAATCCCAATCTTCGAACAGATAATTTCTCCTTGCTAATTGCAGTATATATCGTGTCATGTTCATGTTGGAAATTTAGTGATAGATCAGGACAGTTTCCCCAGAGGGTTGTTTTTTTCTATTCTTCGCTTTGCCTGTCTGCTTCTATAGATATTGTAAGGAAACATCAGATTCAAAAGTCACTGCTCGGTACTGCAATCAAGAACTGGTAGAACACCTACAGCCCTTTATTAAACGTCTGTGCGTGTAATAATACAACTTATCTTTTCTAAAAGGTTTGCATTGTTAATGGCGGTCTAATTAACAGAATTGATGTACTAAATGCCAAATCATCCTTAGGGTTAGAAAGTTTTTTTTAAAGAAATTTTTGTAAAGCGCCACGAACAAGTGTTGTGTGCCACAAAAGTGTTATATTATTATTATTATTATTATTATTACAACAGGTAATAATGTGTGATAGGCAGAGCACGAAACTATTGGCGTTGAACACGTGACCGTCATGTGCGGAGTCATGCTTACCTGTGTGTCAAATGTCACTTCACTGGGTTCCAGTGTTGCTCGTGCTATCACTGACGTCACTTGAGTTAAGGATTGTAAATTACGTACTTCTATATCGGAAACACTCTTTACAACGGAATCTTTGATCTGTAAAAATGAAATAACTGGCTCAGTTGTTTTTAAAGAACATTTTAAAGGATGTAGAGGATAAGAGAATATTTAACTGATTCTCCAAAAAGCACTTTTTGGTGGCCATACCATTCTGCGCATTAATTCCTTTTCTAATATTATCAATCAAGAGACAGTTAAAACGTGTTCGGGCTTTTCGCCAGAGACGAAGGTAGTTGGAATGGGTTTCAGTCCTATTCTGCTTATCATATTAGTGTCAGGTGCTTTTACGAATGTTTTGGAGTTATGTTGTCACGTACCGCTATCTTATCCCGAGTAGCAGTTGAATTTAACTGGTTTGCGGTCTGAAGCACTGCATTCGCGAGCTGTGTCGCACCTCTGACATCCCCAGATTGCACGAGTTGGTTAAACTGACTGTTGTTACCGACTGTGAGTTCTGTCAAGTCGCTGGTATCCTCGTTAGGGGTAGGAGTGACCTGAGAACGTAATGATATTACACATCTCAGTCTGTCCACAAACAGTTTTTTTGGAATTATTTTTCTTCGAGAGCGCGAGGGAGTGCAGAGCGCGAAAGTGTCCCCAGTCCCACCCCTTTGTATTTTGGCTCGGTCATATCCTCCGCGGTTAATATTTGGAGTGCAATCTCGACGAACTCAAGATTAAATAGTGGGTCTGTGGACAGACTAAACACATCTCGCCATATCAAACATACAGACCTCTAAGCTATGATGCTGGCTCATGACTGTGCCATGATTTGAACTGAAAGAACAGCTGGAGAGTTAAAAGAACTGGTTGAAAACGGTGGCGACCGTATTTGCATGGCCATGAGAAAAAACCTAAAATGTGAACACGAGCCACAGGCGAGGGTCGTTTCCCTCGGTGACCACGTTCAGTCAAAAGCCATCATCATACCCAGCTGTGACAAGCTCTTTTAAGGTGAAACTGCATATGAGCCAAGTGGACCATCAGCCCGGCGTTTATCTTTCAGTAGCATGAAGCGAATAGGAGTATTTCTACTCCCAGCTGGATGGGATGCTAGTCCATCGCAGGGTTACCCCCAGCATTAAATTCCACGATACCCATTTGTATACCCGGGCGGAGAGAGGCACTGTGAGAGTTAAGTGTCTTACCCAAGACCACATCCCCCGGCCAGGGCTCGAACTCGGACCTCTCGATCCGGAATCGAGTACACAAACCATGAGGCCACCACGCCCCTACGACAAGCTCTTGTACCCACCTTTATTTTGAGGCAACTGTTATTGGCTGCCGACAAGCTGTCAGACACCGTTATCTCGAAGGCGATTTCATAGTCGTCCTCTTTCTTTCCTGGGGGAAGTACTGTGGTCACGTGATCCTCAGATCCGTACGAAACCACGGTGTACAAGCCATTGTCAGTTTTGTAATGAAACTCATAAGTCAGCGGTGTGTCTGAGTCCTGTAGAGAGAAATGAGGCGAGGTATGATACAAATGTAATTCATTAGCGCTTGGTCTAGCAGCCTGTATGCAGATGTCTACTATTTAGGCAGGCTTGTAGGCAACCTCGTTCCCAGGGTCTGGGAAGATGAGAGGGAAGATGAGAGGCCCTGGGAACGAGGTTGGCTCGTAGGTCTTGCTCGATGAGACAGAAACCCAACGACGCCCATTTTCATCAGACTGTTTTCTCAGCCTAAGCCATTCCTTCGAGGTAACACACCCAACTCAGCAGTCTAAGAGGGGATCAGGTCACGTGGGAAGCCAATTAATTATGAAGAGTTTAAAATTATTCTTACTTTCCAATCTTCACATATGAAGACGAACTCTGTTTTCAAAGCCTCTCCATTAGTGGGTGTCACAGTGCAGCGTCCATGCCTGGGTGAAGCGTTCATTCTGAATTGGTAAGCTGCATTTCCTGATGGTCCGACATCTTGTGAGACGCTAACTTTCAATCGATAAAACAAATCTGGGTCAAGTGGAGCGAGCTGGTTTCCTTTGATGATTATACCAGGAAGGTCCAGGGCCGTTTCTGTCATGTCTCGAGTCAGAGATATTTCGGTGAGCTCGTCGCCGATCGAGTTAACAGTTAAAAGCTGCCATTGATATTTTGCCGCTTTACATGCCAGCCCGGTGCAGGTGGTTGTGACACTGATCCGTGTTGAGACACTCGCGATCTTGTCACAGTTGATAAGACATCTCGAAGAGAAAAATAATCATTAAAAGTTGCTCATAATGGCCAATTCCCTCTATGAGACAGGCCTGCGGGGAATCATGGTAGTTGTATTGCTCAAAAGAAATATCCAGTCCAAGAAGATGAATACAGCTGCCATGATTCCCTGCAGGCACGTCTTATACAGCGAACTGGGCCTTTGCGCTTTTTATCCTGACTTTCTTAAAGTAATGAGATAAGGTGAAGGCGTGCCATCCTTCATTTCTTTAACGCATGTGCAACGATCATATTAACAAAGTGAAAGTGAAAGCCCATTCAGATTGTTATTTACCTCATGGTCACTTCTGGTGGATTACCGCTGACAATCTCAATTTCTTGCACGAAGTCGTCTTCTCTGTCGTCCTTTTTCACAACAAGTTTAACGTCATAAGATTCACCCACAACCATTTGGCTTGTGTCTAATTGCACTACTTTTGCACTAGAGTTTAGTTTTCCAACACCTGTCCCAAAACAACCGCCTCTTCCTGGACCCGACAACAGGGTAACAACCGGAAGTGAAGATAAAGAGCCACCAGGAAAGTGCTCTTGCTGTTTCTTGCACAACCACGTAAACTGCATCGAAGAGTGGTTACCGGGCCCCACATCAGGATCACTAGAGGCCGAACCGTCTAAGGTAATCACACTGCCTTTTCCTCGTGTTACTTTGTTACCTCCCAATATGTCGGCTATTAGTGGAGATTTCGTGATCATGAAAAATCCAAGAGCGCTACTCGTTACCAGGGGGGTACTTGCAATAGCCACTCTGAAATCCACAAAATATCGGCCGTAATCAAGCTGTCGTTTCGGCAAATTCCATTCGTTGCTCTTTGTGTCCAGTAGGGTTCTTCTTTCTATGATAGTGTTGCCGCCCGCATTCTCGCTATATTTGACCAAATACCATTTAAACAAAAGCGTCTGTGAAGAGTTACAGTTGGGTTTTGACACGAGAGTTTGTACAATGAAATCTTTTGAACGAAAGATGGAAACACTGGACTGCTTTTCACCCCATTCGGCGAGATTCAGTATACTGATAACTGGAGGCTGACAGGACTCGTCTGAAAATTACAGGAAAGAATGTTTATAATGCTTTAACAGCAAACAACAACAATAATAATACCAAGTTTGACGACGACAAAGACGATGAGATCGACATTGTGACTCAGTAACGATTTGACAATAACTTTTAAGGCTTCTGTGAGAGGCAATGAAATTGTCAACGAAGAAAATTTGCCTTGTATAAAAAGACGGAACAAGGTAACTTACCTTCAGGTCCCCAGTAACGACCAATCCAAGACATGTTCCCTATAATTCCCGATTTGTTATAGATGCCCAATGCTTGTTGAACGCCTGCTATGTCATTTTGATTGGGTACAGTTAAGGCCGAAGTTACTTCCACACTTCCTGGTCTGCATAGGGAAAGCATGACATTTATTAATTATTATTCATCATTTTGGTTGATATAGCCTTTGACGGCGGAGAAACTCGGCCTAATGTCTGACACAGAAGTAGAAATGAGTTCAATGGGGCTATTGGGGCCCTAGGCCCTTTAACACCATATTGGCTGGGTGAAGCTAAAACGGCAGTGTTTTAAAATCCTGTAGCTTCTACAAAATTGTTTAAGCAGTGTTTTTGTCACTTTGATAAGTGCCGATCTCCATTTTCACCTAGCGAACTGACACCCAAGCTAGCCTGTAAGTCCCACGATGTTTGGTTATATATCATGTAACAGTCAATTGTTCAAATTCGAAAATTCGACCATATTCGAAGTAACGTACATTTATTACGAGAGTCATGCTTATATTGTATTTGTCGTCAGTAAAGTAAGAAATATGTAGGAAAACCGTAAGTGGGTGTATACTCTAAACTGTTCAGTTATTTCATTGATCTGATATACCGATTCACATATATGCACTTACCTCACGAATAGAACTTTCACTTCTGTGACACCCTTTGAGCTAAGATGGGACAGAAACTACAAAAAAGGTAACAAATGCGGTTATTTCAGGACTAACCATAGTATTTCTCTTTTCCTCCCTCGGCATTGCGGGCGAATCTGCTTTGCCTGAGCTCCGTTTATTGGGCCACATGCAATGAATAACACACCATACATTGAGATCATTAAGTTACAAACAAACTTGAATTCGATCGAGCTGTAAAGAATGAGCACAAGATCTGGATGACGCAATAGGTCAAATGATAATTTAACAAGAGGGGAAAGGAATCAACACCTCCTTCCTAATGCCTTCCCCCCTCCCCCGAAGAACAAATCCGCACATAAAAAACCCTCAACCACCGGCAAATAGTTTAAATCGAAGTTATCAATTACTTTCCTGTATCACAGTTGAGAGTATTTTATAAACAGAGTATTCTCACTAAGTGGCAGTCATTAACAATCTTAAGTGAACTGTGTGAGCCAATCTAGCTATATATCAATAATGTACTCTCTGCACCAGTTTGGAAGACAATTAAAGGATATATTTACCTGAGACTTGATGAAAGTCTCAAAACTTTGATAAGTTGCAGAGGAGCTGTTTAGAAGATTAAAGTCAAACTGAAGGTTTTTTCTCAAAAAGACAACTCGTATAGTTGCTGTGAAAACAAAATAAACACATTCATTAGTCAAGAAGCACTCCGACACATAACACATGATATGACGGGCAGTACAAAGGTATATTTGCTCAAGGAGATGTGTACGGACAGAGAGCGGTCTGAATCGTCTTCATTGAACTTCACTTTGCTGGATAGTTTTGAAAATATTTTATTTTGCTTAATGTTCTGTCTGCGCACGACATGACTTAGTGATGAGTGCGGGACCAGACAGGGCCCTTCACATCACCTCCTCTGGTCCTATTCATGTCAGCTCGCGGTGTGCTTTACTCAGTGAAACCGGTGGATATCGGCGGACCTTTCCTGTGGAATGATAATCTTACTTATCACTTGCACATTGACTCAATGATTTGCTTTTATCGTTACGGAAACATTTGTTAGAGAGTTTAGGACAACCTCAATTAGCTACAAGTAGATAATGTGGAAATATTCGCCTACGGACAGAGTTTTCGTATATTATGATACTTTTGAATAGAAAAACGGGAAAATGATACCTGTATTTGAGGGTGCCAATGTAATAACTGTTGGCTGTTGAGTTGAAATATTTCGAGGTGCATTTGTTATTGGTTGTGGAGTAGAGCTGTTTTGTGGTGCCAGAGTTGCGGGTGCCACAGTTGCATTTGGTTGTACAGAGGACTTATTTTGTGGTGCCAAGGTTGTCGGTGCTAAAGTTGCATTTGGCTGTAAATTGGAAGTACTTTCTGGTGCCATTGTTGTGGGTCGTTCAGTTGAATTTGGCTGTACCGTGGAACTGTTTTGTGGTGCCAAAGTTGTNGTGAATCCTAGCACGGATCCTAGCTCGGATCCGGGCTCAGATCCTGGCTCGGATCCTGGCTTTATTCTTAGAGTTCTTAGTTTATCCCCTTATCCACACGAAATTAACGCTACTAACTGTGAATTTAGGTTGTCTTGACTCCAAGCAGGAGCTCCTGCTCCAAGGTATTATTATTTTTCCCCCTTCGTTGCACCTGTTCTTTTTTTACGAAAGAATTTTGATTCACAAGGGATTTTTTCGTCAAAGGCTGCTTTAAAGTACATTTTTGAGTTATTTTTTAATATTATAAATAAAAAAAGTGAAAATAGTGAAAGTGGTGTGTTGCTCGCACCAATTAGATCGCCACATTGGAGTAAAACAAATATTTGCGGTTTGTAGCTCGCACCAGTAAGATCGCAGCACTGGGTAAAACAAATATTTTTAAGGTCAAAAAATGCTGCAATGGAATCAACCCAACATTTACGCATACAAAGAATAACACACAAAGAACTGTGATCTCATTTGACCAGTTAAATGGTCCATGTACTTCGTGAGAACCTCGTCGTCATTTTCTGTCGGGACTAGAAAGGTAGGTAGGGAACTTTTTTACCATTTGATAGCTTAAAAAAGTGGTTTGTTTACCGCTCCTTCACTTGCAACCCACATGCCGCAAGGTAGATTATCACTGGATCATTTCTTTTGGAAGGGCTAGTTTCGCTTAATTCGGTAAAATTTGCACAAGGCATTTGCATAAAACATACTTGATCGATAATCTTCTTTTTACCTTGTGCATGGTTTTTCTTTTGGCTAAAGTTGAAAGGATCAGCAAGTTGTAGTTATTTTCCCCGTCGAATGCCATGTTGAATATCCGTTTCTTTGACTCTTAAAGTTCTCCGTGAATTACATCTCGTGTTTGAAGGGTGTTTTCCCGCTATAATTACGAGTTAACTTGTCATTATTGATTGGACTTTCTCCGATTAAATGACATTTTCTAGTAAACAACCTAAATTTAACGACATAATCCAAAAATTCCACATGGAACTACATGCTAGAAATTTGCCAATTTTCCACGCAATTCCCACCTGCTTTGACGTCTTCTACCAATCAAATTCGCTTTTAGCTACGTTGGACTTAACCCCATTACGTATCAATTCCGTGTAAACAACCTGCATTTTAAGTATGACAGCGATCTTCGCAGTATAAATGAACACTACTTAAACAGTAGTGAATATAAGGCCTGAAAAAAATTCAGGCCTGTACGAGATTCGAACCCATGACCTCTGCGATACCGGTGCAGTGCTCTACCAGCTGAGCTAACAAGCCAACTGGGAGCTGGTCATTATGTTGGTTCGTAATAAACCCGTGAGGTGACGGGTCAACGTTTGTGAATATACGGGTTCGAATACCGTACAGGCCTGAATTTTTTTAGGCCTTATATTCACTACTGCCAGGGCCGTAGCCAGAAAAAAAAATGACCGTGGCAATGTCAACGCAAAATTATGAATGCCGCAATGTCCGTGGTTAGATTACCTTCCTAAGTACATTTAGGGTGTTAATGATGACTATAAACACCGAAAACGCAAGAAACGACTGAGGCAAGTGCCTCGGTTTGTCTGTTACTAGCTACGGCCCTGACTGCTTAAGTAGTGTTCATTACTGCGAAGATCGCTCTGATACTTATTTCTTTAACCGCAGTTCAGATCTATGATAACTGTCCGGTGATTTTGCACCACGTGATGTAAAGTAGGCTATAGAATCGCATGAGAATTAATGGTGGGTTGTAATTTGCTATAGTTCAACTATCATATTACTTAATAAGTAGCTTACTTACATCACTCTAAAAACTGCTGTTACTTACAGTATGTACTTTACAACTCTAACATAACTTACATAGCCTATCAAGTTCTTATTTATTTTCAAATACTGTTTTACAAGAAAAAATAACCATACATGCCTGAGTTTCAATTCAATGTTGTTGGCACTAATTCAAGGTTTTACCATAACAGCCTGATCACTACAGCAGAACTTTGAGTAGACTAGGTAATCATACAGTTGGCCAAGATTAACCCACTGTAGGTAGCTTACAGTTGGCTCAGATTACATCAATTGATATTTTCTGCGTAGCTGATTTGTTTTCAGCTCTCAGAAATCTTCAGTTTGCCTAATTCATAACATTCAGATGATTCTCAGTAGCAGTGGTTAACCTAAGCTAACTTAGCTAGCTATTACACGGAGGAGGAAGAAAAGCATCTTTTTCTGTAAGATGCGCATGTATAGTTGAAGCTCAGTCTATCCCGACCTTGATTTCTGTCCACGGTTATCTCGGGTTTGGCCTTCAATCCTCCCAAGGAAGGAAGGCAGGCTCATTTCCCTAAAAGCAGCGGTAGTGATCAAGCCTAAGTCTATCTTGACGTGTTCATGAGCAAACGGCTTCGCTCTTCTCCTTGTGTTTCTATTTCGTGGAGCTCTAAATCATTATCAGCTTCTCTGTAAGAGGTGGGCCCTGAGGCAGAGGCAGTGGAAGCGGAAGAATTTTGGGTAGTTGGGACATTTTGCACGGGAGTTCCACCCTCGTTAGAGGATTGGGAATCATAAAACTGTATTATCTTTGGAACCAAGCCAGTGATAATATACAAAAGCACTACCTTTAGGACACTATCTGCAGTTTCCCTTCCATAGAATGAGTTGCCTGCTATTACTGGAACAACAACAGCGCAACAAAAGCCAACAAAACAAACCCCAGAGAATAGACCTGCTTGAAGACGCTGACCACCGGCATGAATTACTTTGAAAACATGGTACACCACAAAAAAAGAGACAATGATAAATAGACATATTATCAATAAAACAGTTAAGCCCCAGGTTGGGGTTATCATTATGCCTATTACGAGCCAGAAAAGATGGTTTAGGACTAAATGTACCCATATGAAATAGATTGATCTCCTGACCTCTGCCACGATCCTTTTTCTTGTTGCTTGTTTGCAACCCTGAGTGCCCTGTTTACCCCCGTTGCCTCCCTCAGTGCCCTGGTTACCTCTGTTGCCTCCCTGAGTACCCTGGTTATCCCTATTGCCTCCCTGAGTACCCTGTTTACCCCCTTTGCCTCCTTCAGTGCCCTGGTTACTCCCGTTACCTCCCTCAGTGCCCTGGTTACCTCCATAGCCTCCCTTAGAGCCCTGGTTACCCCTGTTGCCTCCCTGAGTACCCTGTTTACCCCCGTTGCCTCCCTCAGTGCCCTGGTTACCTCTGTTGCCTCCCTCAGTGCCCTGGTTACCTCCATAGCCTCCCTTAGAGCCCTGGTTACCCCTGTTGCCTCCCTGAGTACCCTGGTTACCCCTATTGTCTCCCTGAGTGCCTTGGTTATCCAGTTTACCTTGGATGTACTTGTATAAATTTATAACTAAGATAATTAGAGGACCCTCAAGAATTATTACTACAATAAATCTCTTAGGTAGCCCTGTTTCACAACTTTTACTAAAATAGTAGGGAATAATTACAAAATCTATCAACAGCATGACAACAGCAATGACATCTGTTGCATGAACTATGGGCTTTGCGTTCTGAAAACAACGATTTTCATAATTTGTCAAAAACCGCAAGATGAAGAAGGATAGTAATGGACCAAGTAGTATGACAGAAATATAAGAGCAGATTAACATTGCATAAATAAAACCACTGCGTCCTGTATCCTTTATGTTTGACTCGTGACCCTCTATGACACATTCAGCTGTGTTCAGCCTTGGATCTGGTATTGTTGGACTCACCGCCAAGTCTTCAAGCTATAAATTAGACAACATACATAGTAATATCATAATGAGTGCAATGTACCCAAGTCTGTTAACTCTTTCTCCCTTCTAACAGCTACACATTTTCCTTAGTTATGAGAATTTGGTGTTAGATCAAGATAAAAACCACCTGATAAGTTTGAGTGTTTTCATTACCTGTTTGCTGGATAATGTATGGATATTATAGGGAGGAGTTACACGTTAATCACTTCTGGGGGTTTAAGGATTAACAGTTTTGTTGAAAAGCTGCTTGAATATTCTCAAAAATGAAAATCACACAAAGTGATTTTTTCTGATATTCCAATGGTCCACACATTCATAGGAGGAAGCCTGTAGTACATGTAAGGTGCTCTATCTATAGCTACATTCTGCATCACACAAATCACATGTTGAAAAGCTGATCTCTTGCATTTGAAGTCGGCAGCATTAAAGTTCTTTTTTAGTTATTCCGCACACACCCACATGAAAGCCATTGAAATATGATAGTTTTCTCGTCGTCCAATACAGAGACTGTAAATTTTTTTGGTTGGAGGCTCTTGGAGATAAATTTAGAGTTTTGATTTGCTTGTCACTGCAAAATTATGTGGAAGAATACTTTTGAGGCAAGTAGCTGTAACTGAATGATTTTGATTTTGTCTCTGATGAGGGAACTAAAGTAAGGCTGTTGTTTGGTCTTGGCTGTGAAGGAGATTACAGGAAGCATGGCACCAGACACCAGTGGCAATAAACCATAAAATAAGTGAGTCTGAGTTTATCTCAGATAAACTGTTCTTTTTGTTCTCCATCTGATTTTATTTCCACTGAAATCTTTTGAAAGTAGATTCTCTTTTTCTTTTACAAAAATGCAAACACCAGTTATGAAGTGTCCATTCTCAACTTGCCCATCCAAAAAAATAACTCTAGCAAGTGTAGGGTGTCTATATTTTTAGTAGTGTTATAATTTATAGCAGCTGAACTTTTAATTTAAGTAATGTACTCACTTGCATTTTGGCCCATTCAATGCAGTGTACTGGTTATTGTTGAGATGTCTTTTCAAATGGTTTCAAATAAATTTACACAAAAGAAGTTCCAATCTACTAATCCAAGTGTGCACCCCATTTCACAAGGATTAAACTTCAGAAATAACATCTGCAGGTCCACTTTAAGGCTTGTCAAGGCTCTATATTATTCTGTGTAAGGATGTGTCTTTTCTTTTAAGTGACCTTTTCTGTTCATTTAAAAATTCATTTACTCAGAAACTCTTTGAGTCATTATAGTCAAATATACAAACCAGGAGTTCTTATATACCTTAACTGTAGAGTTCTCAGATAAAGCAAGGAAACTCACATCCATTGGCAGATTTAAACTCACCTCAGCTATAACATTCTTAATCATCTTTTCTCTTCTGTCCTCAGAAACTTTACAGCAAAAAAAGGATCGTAGGGTTATATTTAGATGCTGTGTACGAGGATCCACTAATATTGAACCAAGGGACATGACCTGCAGAACTGCTGCAGGTAATGCAACAAACAGGCAGTTTGTACTCCAAGTGTATTTGACTGCATTTGATCTAGGATTTTGTGTTCCATCAGGTCCATACACATTCACAAACACACGTACAGATGAAGGCCTCATTACTGGATACAATGCTGATCGAATGTTAAAGCTGTTCTGCTCTAACGCTAAGTCATTATAAATCTCTTTATAAGTACCAATACACGGCTGGTTATCAATGCAATGGCTGATAACATCTGTGTTGTTGGCACATTCCAGACCACCAAAAATGCAGAATTTGATAACAAAGAGAAACGTGAACTTCAATGGACAGGCCATGTGGGCATGTACCATCCTGTCATACATTGATCCTTACTGCTTTCCTTTGTAGTTGCACTTCTCTGCAAAAGAAAAAGAGAATAAAATGATTGACCATCATTAGCAAAGAAAAATATGTGTGAAAGCCATATGCTAAATCTTATACCAAAAACAAATCCTCTGGGCAGTTAAAATACTAACAATATTGTTTAAACAAAGTAATTTAGGGCCTATTTGCACTACACAAAATTTTGTTTGTTTTGCAAAAAAATCTGTCAACACCAAACCATTTTCAGTGCAAACGATTTTTTAGACCCACCAAAATTTTCACAAGTGCCACCAAACTTCAAAGATGCCGTCAACTAGCTTTGAAGGCTTACAATTTTTTGTCGGGCAAGAAAATCTATTGTTCCTTGACAGATACCCTTCAACTGGTCATCATATTTCGTAATTGAACGTAGCATTAGTAAGTTTTACTAATAAAAAGGCTTCAGGGAAGTTACGATTTCAAAGCTGAGTTAAAGTCTCCATGATCCATAAAAGCTGAATCCTTGAAGTAATTGTTGACTGGCCACAATCAGGTTTTGCATGGTAAGCAAACAGCAAAGAAGGGCGAGTAAAACATTTCACGGGGGCATTTTGCTTTGCGATCAGTCCTCGACCAGAAACAACAAAAAAGGAAATGCACCGTCACAAAATCTTGGTATCTATTTTGATTGATCGACATTTGTGGTTACACAAATAATTCGCATGTCTCAAGTGCAGCCGTTATTACAATAACGAAATATTCGTTGTTACAAAATTTTCAGTTTTTTTGCAAATACCAAATTAAATTTTTCGGTGCAGTGCAAATAGGGCCTAATTGTTAAAACATAAACAGCTGCAATAAAATATTCCTTAAGAGCATTGAACAAATTAAAAATATTTTTTCTATCAGCCTTGGTCATTAAGAGTTATCTTGGACCTAGCACTTGATTTTACTAAAACTACCTTCAGTTGATAATACTCTCTATTCTGCTCAAACTTCTCCTGACTAATAATTTGATTTTTACATAATTTGTAATTCTATTTGTTTTATTTATTTGGTTATTTTAACTATTTTGTAATTGTGAAAGGTGAATTTATCAACATGACACAAGCGTGGGACAAAGAAAAAATTCTGACTCCCCGACAGGAATCGAACCCATGACCTCCCAAACACCAGGCGGGCACTCTATCCACTGAGCTACAAGAACTCATGGAGAGCAAGGTCATTTAACTGAGTTCATATTTGACAGGCGTCCTGCATACTGCTACGTTGTACATTGTAATTATAACACATCAGTATAAATTAAACATATTATACATACATTAATATAACTGAAAATTTAACATGTGGCGAGGAAACCCATAGAGAAACCAAGAGACTTACGCAAACTATACAGGTTTCTTGTATTTTACAAAAGTGGAGTATGACTTATATAGCATGGTTAAGGTTCAAAATATAGCAAGCACTCAAACAGACATATACCTAAGCAGCATGAGAAAAGTGAGAAAAAAAAGAATCAGAAGGGAGTCAACTTTGAAGTTATGTTCTCAATTGAGACTGAAACAGGGAAAGTGGGCCAACATTTTGGATTTCTATATTTAGAGAATTGAAAAATTTGGGCCCTTGGAAACAATGCAAACTGTTTGATGTTTGTTCTGCAAGGGAATAAGTAAAAGAAATTGCATTGTCTGGTGTAACAACAATGAATGGCTACTCACTACAATACACTTACTACAACTAAGCTTTCATTTGATGGATTAGTTTCATACGAGAGGCTAAACATAACGCTTAAGTCAAATTGCCACCGGTGGCGACTGAGTTTGTCGTAACGTAGTTGAACATGGTTGACATGTGACTAGGGAATCTTATGAAATGTTAACGTCATTACTAATCTCTAATTTGCTGTGTTACAGATGTTAAGAATAAAATACTGAAGAGAGTACTGTGGATGCTAGGAAGTTAAGCGAGTCGCATACTTCCGCCTCTGTAACGTTCAGTCCACTCGCTTTTAAGCCATGTACCAGTGTTATGGACACATACTGATTGTTAGTGGAAGTTCTCCAATCTCGTTCATTAGATTAGTTGGCAGCTTACCTCAACACTGCCTCACTGAGAAGTCGCTCGTTTCATGAAACTCTTCGGCCCAGATCAGACGTCGTGCTTCTGCCTTGCTGAACTAAATCGCAATTTGGTTCGACTGTAGTAGGCAGGAAATCAACTCTGATTCAGACGTCGTGCCAGAGTCGAATCAAATTCAGGGTTTACTGAAGCCGCGTTACAATTCTCCTCCTAACTCCCCGAGGGAACG